ATAATAATTGTAATATAATAATAATAATAATAATATATAGTCTCGAATGAAAATGACTGTCGACACTTATATTATATTGCAATTGTCTCCTCCTCATCATCATCAACTATATTAGGCCCACTTCCATCACCTTCCAGTGTATTCGGCCTACTTTCAGCATTAGGCCTACTTTTAGCATTAGGCCCACAACTACCACTGTCTTTTGGATGCTCCATGCTCATTTTCTACAAGAATTAAAACAACATATTTATTTAACATAATCAATAATTAAACAACTAACCCAAAGTAAATCAACATAATGACAGCATGTTCCACATTACAATTTGTTTCACATAACATGTTCCCTAAATAACATGTTTCATACTTTTATGAGGAAAAAATCAACATGTTTCATTGTTTTAAAAAATTCAACATAGACTTGTTCTTAGTTTATAATCAATTCAAGACATGTTTCACTATTTTAAACAATTCAACATACTCAAACATAATTTCTTATAGTTTTAAGCAGAATAACATACTTACAATACTTACAATACAAGTTTATACTATTAGTCAACTTTTTTCTTGTCAACACACAATTTGTATATATATATATATATATATATATATATATAAAGAATGTACCAACAATTTTATTGGAAACAACAGACCAGTGCTTTCACCTTATGTGTGGACTCCACACAAACCTATAAGAAATAAAGCATTAGATTCAGTCTTGGATCAAAAAAAAAAAGAAATATAAATTTCATATTACCTATGAAAAGTGTTGCCTCGAATATTCTTCCTTTTGTACTATTAGGGATTCATATTTTTCAAACTAGATTATGAGGTTTTCAATACTAAGTGTTTGATTTCAAAATGTGGGTTTTTAGTTTAAGTAGTAACCCTAAAACCCATATCATTTTTTATTTCAACTTTTAATGGGTTAAATTTAGGGTTCGATAAAACAAACCCCAAAAAGAAAGCAAACACTAAGAAGAAGAAGAAGAATCGAACGAATGAAGAGAGGAGGAGATTTGTTTCAGAAGAGAGAGGGAAAATGAGAAACGACAGAGAAGGGGACAAGGATCGACAATAATTTTTATGGATTTACTTTCTAGGTTAAAAATTTAGTTTTAATGTTAATATTAAAACATTATTTTTAATATTTTAATCATTTTAATTTTAATATGTTCGAATTTAACAAAAGACTGAAAAAGAAATTAAAATAGCGCCATGTAGAATTAAATGAATGGTTAACGGTTTTAATTTAGTGGCCGTTATGACCTAGGCACCTAAACATGTAACGATTGTAACGTTAGACATCTAAATGAAACAAAAATTAGTTTAGGTATCTATTTGGGAAAACGATATAGTTTGAACATTTATTTTGGTATTAAGCTAAAATTACAAACAAATTTCAACATTTTAATATTTTTTAAAAAGTAAAATTTTCTTAATACACTAAACTAAATTTAACAAAATTTTCAAAATAGTAGGTATGTAATTATTTCTCGAGAGAACTTAGTGCATCCTCAAAAGTCATATGAGTATGAAACGTGTGCTATTATACGGAATGTTACGTTAATATCAGTAAAATATAAATTCAAATTAATATTTTAGGTTAAAGAAAAGAAAAAAATGATTTTATTGTTTTGAAACACCAGTAAAAGAATAAAAACAAAAAAATATAAATATTAAAAATTAAAATTATAATCATAATTATACCTAAAAATATTAATTTTAAAACATGTCTATGGTACTTCACCTATTCGTTGAATCATATCTTTACTTTATTTTTTTATTTATTTTACTTCGTTCTATTTATATAATATTTATTATTATTGTTGTTGTTGTTATTTTATTTCTCGGATTACCTATCTGTTTATGGGAAGGTGTTTTGCAAGTTTAGAATTGATGCAGAGACTGATTTGGCATTGCTATGATTTACTGTCGTAAAACATTCCACAACAGATAAATAATCTCTAAAATCTAAATTTAGATTTGATCTGTTAATTCGATTTTAATTGGAAAAAAATAACATCCCAAAATGTAAGAGTTACTGTGGTTAGAAGTAGAAAATTAATGTGACCTTATGCTGATTGAAGAAGAAGACAAGGAGGCAGAAATCTTAGTACATGTAATCAATGATACACTATCTTCAGACTACACAACTACAAGCCATATTACAATTGCTGCGCCTTTGATTAGCAGTTTTGCCCAGGTATTGTAGTGGGATAAAAAAAATCAAATGAAATGTTTTAGTAACACAGAAAAAACGCAAAAAGTAGTGGGCATCTTCTGCATATCCGAGAAGGACGCAATGATCACTTGACATTTTATACATATCAAGGAGCATGGGAAGGAAATACATAATATGTACACCGATCATGGGAGCATGAGAAAGATGTTGCCTCTTCCTTGTATCTTTATGAAGATGCCAATTGTTTCGAACGTCTTTCTAGTGATACTTTTCAAAAGATTTTATTTGAGAAAATAATATTAGAAATGCATTAATTAAGGATTTTTTTCAAGTACATTATTTGGTTAAGATTACCTTCATTAACCAGATGCTTAAATGAATTTATTTTCAGTAGGAAGATAAAAGTTTTAATTGCATCATAATATTACACAGTGATAGATCTAAAAATTAAAAATAGGTTCAAAATTTTAATTATTTTTTTTAGATGTAAATTTTTCTATTTCCCCTTAATTTCTTAATACATTAAACTAAATTTAACTTATTTTTTAAAATGATAGGTGTGTCATTATTTCTCGAGAGAACTTGGTGCATTCTCTGGTGTCATGTGAGCATGGAACGTGTGTTATTATACGAAATGTTACGTTAATATTATTAAAATTTAAACTTTAATTAATAATTTTTGTTAATGAAAAGGAAACCCGATTTTATTATTTTGAAACACAGCTAAAAGAATAAGAACTAAAATATGTCTATTGAAAATTATAATTATAATCATGATTATACCTAAAAAAGATATTAATTTAAAATATGTCTATGATACTTCAAGTCTTCACCTATTTGTTGAATCATGATAGGCGAACTATACTATATAAAGAAACTTATATCAACGCATCGTTTATGGTAATGGGGTCTTTATTATTAACCCTATTTCCCAAAGTTGAGAGATCCAAACAGGAGCATTAATGAACGTTGAAATCTGGAAATTTGGGGTAATGAAGGTTGCATTTTCGTTTGTTTAAATTAAAATTATTTATAAGATACAATTTTAGATTGTGGTGGATAATAAGTAATTTAAGGTTTTATATTTAAGGGTGAAATACGCGTTTAGTATTTAAATTATCAGTTTTGGTCTATTTTAGTACTTAAACTTTCATTTTTTTTCAAAACTATACCTATCATTTAGTTTTTTTTCATTTTAATACATTATCGTTAAGAACTTAACGGACGGACTGACATGGCATAGCTCCAATGGATGAAATACTAATCCAAATGGTGGACCACGAGAGAATGACGAATTGACCAACATAGTCCAGTTTCAGGCCCATCGACGGTGGACCATGGAGATTGAAAGATGAAAAAATCGAAGATTCCATCATCGAATTAGGGAGATTAAGGTGTTCTTCGATGAATCAGGGGCCGCAATCTCGTTCACGGGGTCGAAAAAGTGCGGGCTGAAAATTTTGGGCTTTAGACGGATGTGACGGTCGATAACTGTAGATAAGCCAACTGACTAGTCCATCCGTTAAGTTTCAAAACGAAGTATTAAAATAAAACAAAAACCAAACATTATGTGTACTTTTGAAAAAAAGTTTAATTATTAAAGTGGGCAAAAACTAATAATTTAAGTATTAAATTCGTAAATTTATCATATATTTAATTATAAAATATGTTTTTTAATATTTTATGTCTTAGGTAATTTTTTTTGGTTAAAGGTAAATTTATTGTTTACGTATGAATAAGCACGTAAATTATTCATTCCCAAATTTAATTTCAAAATTGACGTTATTTATTCATTAAATAAATATTACATAAATGCAAATAATAAATATATTATATTCCATTGATTTCAGCATTTAAGGGATGACAAATAAAGTAAAGGCATGAAAATAGAAATTAATTGAACGAGAAAAACGTCAAACTTAAATGAAAGTAATATCCTTCTGGGTTAATGTTATTAAAAGTGCCCAAACTATAATTTAAATTTTAAATTACCCTTAGATTTCTATATATATATATATTCTAATTTAATCTTTAAAATTTCAGTTTATATCAATTAAAGTATTCCATTTTCACAACAACTAGCTAGACATGTTTAATAAGATGTGCATCATTACTGTTTTTCAAACTTCATAACCTTCCTTTTCCTTTATGATATCAGATTAATGTTCTTCGCCTTTTAAAGTGTGACATTCTCTTTGATTTAATCTAGTGACACATTTCGTACGGTCTATAATCACGATTATTCACTTTGTCTATCCTATTCACTGAGGTACTCAACATAAAATAAAACAATCAAATGATCCTATTGATATCACTTATTGTGGGTCATTATCATTTTCTGAAAAGACACACTTGATAGAATGTGTAACACCGCCGCCTTTAAACTTTAAAACCTCTATTTTCTTTTTGTGATATATATGATTAATATCCTTCACCTCTCCAATGTATGACAAATACTTATTACATGAATAATTTAGATTTAATCGATTAAAAATAAAGTTTACAATACGATTTAATTTGTGTATTTAAAATACGCTTTACGTTTATCAGTCTAAACTGACGAATTTGTTGATAGAATGACTTGATTGATACTTTGAGAATTAAATTAGAATATTTTAATAGCTATGGATCAATTTAGAATATAAATGATAGTTTGGGATGTTTGGGCAATTTATCTTGTTTTTCATCAACCGAGTCCTCTTATTTTGACTCTGTTAAAACAAACAAACAAAAAAATGACTTCATTTGACTGGGGAAGGAATCGGTTTACTTTTTAATCCTACCACCTCCAATTTGTTTGCAGTAAGACTCTTCTTTTTGGCTATTTCTTAATATTCGGAAGAGTCTTCCATTGTCTCGTGGCTACTACTTACCTTCCGCCTACATTGAAGCCTACGCTATCCTGGATCCTACATTATCGTGTCGGTGGCGGATCGGAAAGCCAAAAGACTTGAATTAAAGATCTAGCTAAAGCAACAATTGAATCTTTGAAACAAACCGCTGTTTTTTCTCTCTCTGAATCTGGGTATTTGTCTGATCTATAATGGGTTGGAGGTACAAGGCTGGCTTGTTCTTGATAAGTACTGTTGTTGTTATTTGGGTGACCTCTGCAGAAGTAACCCAGGTTAGTTTTCTTTTCCTTTACTACGTATATAATTAAGTGTCTTTGGATTTGAATAGTTAACTTTGATTAATACATCCATGGCCAATTGGCCATGCATTTGTTCATGTTCTTGATCAATTATTTTATTTTCTCGTTATGTATCGGTTTGGGTTAGGTTGCGTAATTGACTTTTTGTATATAACAAGGGACGAACACATGATTTTATACTAAGAGAAAACTTCTAAAATTTTAGTAGGGACTGAATTTTTAAAGTTTAAGGTGGATAAACATATTATCAATAGAAAATATAAACAAAATATCTATGATAATTTGAAATTTTCAAGGGTGACCGCCCCAGTCGCCTCCTTCATCCATCTCTATATACAGTTGAAGCGTTTGAAGGTGTTTTTTCTACATTAATCCATCATATTTTTTTTCATGTTCATTGTTAATTAATGGTTTAATCTCTTTTCTAATTAGTCTTGGCCATTTTTTTGCATGATTCATTGCTAAATAGAGAACTCTTGTAGGAAAATATTGGGTTTAATTTCATTTCTTTTGCACAAATGCTTATCGGGACGAGAGATAAAAAGAATAGCATTTGATCGTATTTCATATTGTGAGTTGTACCATTTCTGGTAGGCGCCTTCAATGCTTAATGTCATTGAATGTTTAAATCTTGTAAAGATCCTATCTTGTTTAGCTGAATAGGCTATCTGATGAATCAAAGCATTTATAATCTCGGAATGTAATTCTGAGAGCCTTTATGTAGGTATTGTTGTATTTTCGTGTGCCCGAATGGGTTGATTAGATTTGGCAGTAACATGTGTTCTTTTTTTAACTCTGTAGTCTTGCATATTTTCATGTTTTGAGATTGCATTACAATATTTTGAAGGTAGTTGAATTTCAAACTAATTGATGTCTTGTGTGCAGGATATTTTTACTGACTATAAGCAGCCATTTGCTGTTACATATCTCGGAGCTTCTCTTATGGTAATTTACATTCCAGTAGCCTTTATAAAGGACTGGATATGTAACTGGCTAAGACGCCGTTCTTCTAAAACTGTTAAAGATATAGAAAGCTTAGACGAGACTTCCACTGAACTTAATTCTCCTCTAAAGCACAAAATATATGAAATGGAACTTCAAGGGACTTTGGTTAGGAAGGACATTGATGCAGATCTTTCACCTCGCATAGAGGGTAAGCCGCTGGTTCCTAAACAGAAAGATGAATTGCAGTTTAAGAAACAGGACACAGAGCTTTCCACAAGGGAGATTGCTACCTTTGGATTTTATATTGCGCCTATCTGGTTTGTAACAGAGGTAAAAATTTCAAATCATCATTTTGTATTTGGTTTTTTCCTTTTCGAATTCTTTTGTTATGTTAAAGTTTAGCCTTGAGTTTGTGTATTGAATATGCAATGAACTCTCGCTCAAAAGAGTAGTACTGAGAAATATTCTGCACTATTTTTGGATATGAAACATACAACGCAAAGGAATCAAAGGAGTTATTGCTAATGGTTTTTGGTTGTTGCAGTATTTATCGAATGCTGCTCTTGCGCGTACAAGTGTAGCAAGTACAACAGTACTGTCCTCTACTTCAGGACTTTTTACACTTTTTATTGGTGCTTTACTGGGCCAAGATTCGTTAAATGTAGCAAAGGTGGTTGCTGTATTTGTCAGCATGGCTGGTGTTGTTATGACCACTCTTGGAAAAACTTGGGCTGCTGACGATTCAATAGGATCTGCGTAAGTTCATTTATCTTTAATGGCTTATCAGGATGTGTTTGTTTTTCAGGATTATGTTGTTTTGATAGAACTTCGCATATATGTTTATGCGCATATGATTTATAGATGGTTCTACTATTTTCATGTGAGCAAAATAGTGCTTCCAAACCCGCTTTATTTTGAGGAAGAGAGTTAGTGGATTATACACTTCCTTTTCAAGCATTCAGATTACTATTATACTTTTCTGCAACAATTTTCTCTATTTTGGTAAAGAAAAGATTAGTGATTGGAGTTGCTGTCTTTTGTAATTCAATTTTTTTTTTGTTGCTTTCATAAACTGCATGGCTTTTGTTATTATCGTAACGAAAGTGATGGAGTAATTAAGTGTCATCCTGTAGAAGATCTCTTTACTAAGCGTAAAAAAAATCACAAAACACTAAATTACTTTGTAATGTATGTTTTTAAGATTTACAGTTGATGTTTGTTTTTAGCAATGGGAAACGCTCTCTTGTTGGCGATCTTTTCGGCCTTCTCTCTGCTATATCATATGGGTTATTTACAGGTCTGGCTGAATCTCTTATTTTAATTCATTTACTTCTTATCCATTCATAAGGAAAATTGTCATCTTCTCTTACTTTTTCAATTATGTTGCAGTGCTGCTTAAAAAGTTTGCAGGTGAAGAAGAAAAGGTCGATGTCCAAAAGTTGTTTGGATACATTGGACTCTTTACACTTGTAGCACTGTGGTGGCTGGGTACGAGTTTTTTTTTTGACAATTTACAATTCTTCTCGTATAAGTCATCGAAATTGGTTTCCAGATTCTTGTAACGGTTTGTTGACTTTCTACTCAGGAGTGTATCCCGACATTTGGTTAGTTCGAACTAATCACTCCGTTAAATACTGTTTCAGTTTGGCCTTTGACGGCCTTGGGGATAGAACCCAAATTTACGGTACCACACTCTGCTAAACTGGATGAAGTAGTCCTTGCAAATGGCTTTGTTGGAAGTGTCATCTCCGATTATTTTTTGTATGCACCCTGTTTTATTTTTTTTCGAGCACTTTCACGAACCAAATCTTCACGGTTTTCTTCTTTCATTCATTCTTAATCTTCTTTTGAACTTCGTTTTTTCCCCCTAGGGCCTTGTGTGTTGTGTGGACGACTCCTCTAGTAGCAACATTAGGCATGTCACTTACCATCCCACTCGCGATGGTGGCTGACATGCTCATCCACGGCCGTCATTACTCGGCAATTTACATTCTCGGCTCGGCTCAGGTAAACCACACTGTCGAATACATGCGATTTTTGTGTGGAACCGTCTGTTTTGATCTCTGACTTGGTTTTATGATGGTGAATTTGCAGGTGTTTGCTGGATTTGTAATAGCAAATGCTTCGGGTTGGTTGACAAGAAAGCTGGGATTGTAGCAGTTGTGGAAATCATCAATCGTATAGCTCAAATCAGAACACAATCCATTCTTTATCAGGAGCCCTCGTCTCCTTTCATTTGTTGTGTACACTTTGTTTAAAGCTTTGGTTTGTTGGCAAAAAATGCTGAAAGTAATGTTATCTTGTAAATGATCTCTCTCTCTCTCTCTCTCTCTCTCCACTCCTAAAAAACGAAGTCCTAATTGTTAGATATTTTTCTTTAATCAAAACATGTATTCTCGCTATCTGCTACCAGTTGATTTTAGACGCTTGTTCCCTTATGCAAAGTTAAAAGATTCAAATTCTGGTTTAAAATTTTGAAGTTGTGAATCGAATAAATTAAGTTGAAATAAATATATATATATATAATGCATTTTATAGTTAGGGATGTATACTGGTTGAATTTTCAGTCAACTCAATTTGATCCGATAAAAGTACCCTCCCTACTTGAAACATGACCCAGTTCGGGAAAATCCATCCGACACGAAACATGACTCGCTTTTGAGATAAAATTTATACCCTAACTCGACAATAATATATATATAATTCTCATTTAATAAAATAAAAAACTAATTGAAAAAACATAAAGTTATATTATTATCTCGAGTTGGATCTTATATTTTTCACCCTAAAATCAAATTCAATCCTACCTTCTCCTAATAAGATCGTGTAGGGTCAAAATTAGGGATGGCAAACGGGTATAGTTTTATGGATTCCGCTCCGCATCCGCTCCAATTGGAGCGGAGATGGGTATAATTTTAGCGGGTAGTGGGCGGGTGTGGATTTATAAAGTGGTACTCGTCATGGGTGGTGGGCGGGTAATGGGTTTGAGACATTACCCGCCCCGCATCCGCCCGCCCATCTAAATATCTATTAAATTTTGGACCATTATGAATTTAGGTGTAATTTTAGAGACTAATTTGTAAATTTTAATATTGTATAATATATAACATATAATTTAACCAAATATTAAGGATATTTAGTCTTTAATCTGGTCTTTAATTAAGGAAATATTCGGCTCTTTGATTAAACCCATAATCCCACTAACCACGTCACTTTCCATGTTCTTTAGCCAATGTTGCCCATCCAAACACAAATTAGTCGTACTATAAGCATTAACATCAAAAGCAGTAGTTTCCATGTTCTTTAGCCCCTCAAAACCCATATTAGGCGCACTATGAGCATTAACATCGAAAACAACACAACAATCTAGCTCTACGACTACATGCTCCCTACAATCTGTCTCCATAACATTCATAGAGCCACTCCTCTGACAAATTGAAGCATGCGCTGCTACCCCATCACGAACTGTCTGGGAACCAAATCCAACATCCCATTAGTTTGCTGTCAGGCGGGTCTAGATGGGTATGTCGCTAGTGGGTAGTGGGTGTGGGGATGGATTTGAAAATGTACCCGCGTGAGCGGGTGTGGATTTTAAAATTTGTACCCATCATGGGTGGTGGACGGGTGGTGGATTGAAATATATTAGGTGGGTATGGGGATGGGGGAGGGGGTATCCGCACCCGATCCGCCCGTTTGCCATCCCTAGTCAAAACTTGCTGACTTCGAGTATCATGCTCGACCTTATCTGCATTACTCTTGATCCCTTAGCCTTAGATAAGATAAAGAGTTCAAATCTTGATATTGTGAATAGAAGTTGAAAGAGTTTGAATCCTAATGTTATACAAATTAAACTATTTTTTTTATAATGATCAATGCAATACTCGATTCGAATTAAAAATTTAGGTTTAACAATTAAATAAGTCTCAAATTCAAACCATAGTTCAGTCTCTCCTTGTTAAAATGGCAAAAGCCCAAATATAAAAGGCCCAGGTTCAATAGCCATCACAAAGTCAGAAGCAACTATTACAAATTCAACATATATCTAAAAGCTGGGAAAACCAGGAACTATGTACTTTTTTTCTAGTTTTCATCAACTGTTGAAGCTCTCAATTCTCAGCTGCCATGGCGTCGATCGCACGGTTGTTATTGCTCGTGCTTCTGTCAACTGCACTAACGGTTTCATCTGGGTACGAAATTATCTTCGACGCCCTTTTCTTTGGTATTTCATGATTCTCTTTTTATCGCTGATTTTAACTCTAATTGGAATCTTTTGAAAATTAGATTCTTTTTTTTAACTAGAAATTCAATTTAGGGACTTTATCACCGTATTCACCTTGTTTCAGCCAAAATTAAGATCAAGTAAATTTGTTTAGTTTCTTAATTGATTGCTCTATCGTATTTGGATCTTTGATTAGGTTTTCAACTTGTTTTCTCGTTTATGTACCTGTTTTTGGCAGGTCTGGATATGGATACACCATCAATGGTCGAGTGAAAATCCCCCAAGGTATTTCGTTCCTTTTCATTTTTTATTAGTTACTGATCTTTCACGTTGATTTCCAGTGTGTAAAGTATATGGTGATTTATTTTGCAAAGCAGTCTCTGTATAGATAATTAGATATTTCTGAATTAGTTTTTCAAATTTTGATTAGGACTATTTGTTTGGCTTTGATGTTATATAATAGCATGTGGGTGATATATCAAACCATTAATCCATCCCATACTAGGTTTTGGAAAACAACGAAATTCATCCCCATTGAACCTATATTCCTATAAACATCGGTGCAGATTCGACATTTGAGAATTTGACATTAATTATTCTTCACTTAGGCATACTATTAATAATATGGCTACAGTGTATGTATCTCACTATATATTTGTTCGTGTTCTGTTATGATATGTTATCTTTTATTTAATTTAGTGCAGATGTCTGATGACTTTATTTGGCAGGTCTGGGTACAGCAGGGCTTGTTTTGCCTGGAAAAATGTCAAATATCAAAGTTATACTCAATGGTGGTCAAATTGTTTCTTATCTGAGACCTGATGGATATTTTTCTTTGTATCCTAAGGTTTATCGAATTCTTTTTAATTTTGGGGTGGAGTTGCTAGGGTTTGAACCCAAGTTTTCATTCTTCACAAACCTCCTGCCACTTGGACCAAGAAGTTGTTGGCAATTCTTATGCATAGCTCTGATTGAAAATCCATATATTTTACTTTTTTTCTTTGCCCTTTTAATACTGTTTTTCTGTTGGTAAATAATCTGATACCGTATAAAATGGTGGTAGTAAACCTTTCCTCTGAACTATTATAATTCCTTAATATAAATGCTGAAAGCCAGAACATACCAGCAGGGACTCATTTGATTGAAGTAGCTGCAATCGGCTATTTCTTCTCCCCTGTAAGATTTTTATTTCTTGTCTGTCTCAAGAATTTTAATCATCAAACCATTTTGGTTTTCTTCATTAACATTAACGACTTTGAAATTGCTTAGGTTAGAGTTGATGTTAGTGCTAGAAACCCAGGGAAGGTGCAGGCAGCATTAACAGAGAACAGGAGGGGTCTCAGCGAATTGGTTCTAGAGCCATTGAGAGACGAAAAGTATTACGAGGTTAAGGAACTTTTCGCTATTTATGTTTATGTTTCCTTTGCTTGCAGTTATTGCCTATCCTTTGCTTCATATTTATCCTACTTTGTTGCAGATTAGGGAACCTTTCTCCATAATGAATGTTGTGAAAAGCCCAATGGGTCTCATGGTGGGATTTATGCTGGTGGTTGTGTTTTTAATGCCCAAATTAGTGGAAAACATGGGTAAAGTACTCTGCTACTACTTCATAACTTGGTAGCTTCTTTGAAGTTCTGACTTGCAATAGATTTATACGAGTCAATTTTGATGGAGAATTTGCTACTTCATTTCTTGCTTGCATTTTTTTCTCGACTGATATAAAGTCTCCTATGTTGCCTATTCGATGCTTGTACGAAGAATTGTTGAGCTGCAATTCATTTTTCCCAAACATTACATGTTTCATTCTAATTGCAATTTTGGGGATCTTTTATTCTTGACTTTTACGAATACGACTTTCTTGTGCATGTGCTTCAAATGCCCCTGTCCCTCTCAATGTATAGACTAGAAATTTCAGTTTTGCTAATTTTATAAATCTATTATCCATTGCAACAGATCCGGAAGAAATGAGGCGAGCACAAGAAGAAATGAGAAACCAAGGGGTTCCCTCTTTGGCTAGTTTGTTACCAGGAGGTGGGAGGAATTAAGTTCTTGATCGAGAACCATGAACTCAAAGTTAATGTTCAGAAAAATCAAGGGCGGTTCAAATGTCAAGCTGGATTGGTCTTGTACCCCAACATTCACCGATTGGTTGCGGAAAGAATGGATGATACCCTTTGAATTCTTGGCAGCATCTCAAAGGTTATGTAGTTTTTTTTTTTACCATAGTTGCAGAACTTAAATCATTGTTGATGCTTTGATATCAAAAACAAAGAAAATTTAGGGAAAATATTGTTATGGACATCATGGTTTTCTTTTTTACTTGAAGAATTCCCGGTCTGTTTATGTGGGTGATTTAGCTTGTCGTTTATCAACTCTCCTTGTACCTCACCTATTCTGTATATTTTGTTATTAAAGCCTCTAGCAACATTAGTGTCTAGTAGCAACATTTCCCACAAAAGCATTCCTTGATGCACATGCACTGCTGCTTGACAAGCATTTTGTTGGAAAATTCTCAAACACAATGACAAATATGTAAGGGGAGTTTGTTATGAACCTAAAGGAATAGAAGAACAATGAGCAAAGAAATTGGAAATAGAATTTGAGAATAGGATCAAGAAAAGGAATTTAGAGAAGAAAATAACTTAGAGAATGAGAGATTTCAGAAAATAGAACTTTAATTCAATATTCAGATGATTCCCTACATGCCCAGTACCCTTGTTTTATTTGTTTACACGGTACTATTCAGCTAGATGATTCTACAGCTGACTGTCCTTGCTGTAACTAATTGAAATGGTCATTTGCAGGCTTACCTGAGAACCCAACCCACTCCCTTTATCTGCCTCGAACCCGTTAATCCTATCTTACCACTTGAAATCCCCAATTTAATTTTCCTTTTCTCAACAATCCCTAATTTATTATCACCAATTTCGAATTCACCGCCTTCTAACCCTAACCGTTCTCCTCTATTCGTGATAATTCCTTTCCCTTCAATCGATCCTTGTCCCCAAGGATCACAGTCTGGAAATTGTACTTGAAGCAAAGTATATTCCTTCCAAGAGGTGTTCTCGGATTCTAAGTTCGTCCAC